AGAGAGAGAGAGCTCTTGCAGCACCTTTGAGATTCACTGAAAGAAAGAAATGGGCAGCAGGAGCCTTCCTAGACTTCAATCGACTTCCTCAGATGCATTTAGTTACCAGTGGGATAACTGTGAAGTCGTAGGCTTTCATGGCCGGCATCCATAGTTTTTTGTGGGTTTTTCAGGCTGTGTGGCCATGTTCTAGAAGAGTTTCCAAAAAACAGTAGGGTAACTGTTGGGATATATATGTGTATGTGTATATATATATATATATATCATTCTTTCTCCCTTCCCCTCCTCTGATAGGGTTGCCATAATTCTCTTCCACCAAACTGGGACAAAATGTAAGACGTTCAAGAAAAAAATGGAACACATGACCAACTAAAAACCAAAAGTATGAGTAAAATAAAAAAATAAAAAATATCATATTAAATAGAAATATAGTTGAACATTAATATAAATATAATGTAAACCTTGGGACTGAATCTTCTTGGGGTTGGGATCCCCTAGATTTTCCTGTGGCTTGGACAGCTAGCTGAGGCCCTGGATGTCTTTGGGGCTTGTTTGCCTGGCCTGGCTGCTGCCTCCTGCAAAAGAGGGGGGGAAGGCAAGGAGCCGGGAGCCAGGACATGGTCCTAAAAGCAGGCTGGGACATTCAAAGAAATATAGATATATTTCTATCTATAAATAAACTGGGATGAGGGTCCCTCTAAATATTTAATAAAATGCATGCATCTAAATCCTGCTGTGGCTTTAAAGGTAAAGGTAAAGGTATTCCCCACTGACAAGGTTGTCAAGTTGTGTCCTACTGTAGGGGGCAGTGCTCATCTCCATTACTCAGCAAAAGAGCCAGCACTGTCAGAGACAACTCTGTGATCATATGGCCAGCCTGACTGCATAGAATGATGTTACCTTCCCACTGAAGTGGTCCCTATTTATCTACTTGCATTTGCACGCTTTTGATCTGCTAGGTTGGTAGAAGCTGGGACTAGTGACAGGAGCTCTCCCCATCATGCAGCACTTAGGCCTCGAACTGCCAACCTGCCAATCTTGCCATCAACAGAGTCAGCATCTTAACCACTAAAGCCACTGCATGTGTACCAATTTGCAAATTTGTACCTATTTACAAATGTATTTATTGTCCCTGTGAATCAGTAGGACCAAATGGGATGCTGTAAAGAGGAGGACAACGGAGTCTGCATGCAGGAAAATCCCATCTATCTGAGGAGGTAGGGTTGCCATATCCCAGTTTGACTGCTCATTGACAGGATCACAATCCAAAAATACAAGGAAAAAGAAATGGCAGTGCGGGAGGGGACTAAGACCAGCTGGTACTGCGTCTTCTTCTCTCCTTCTGAGGCCAGGGTAGTGGCAGTTGGGATGCATCTGGCCAAAGGCATGGTGGAGCTGTGTCTGCCTCTTCATTTTTCCTTCCAAGACCAGGGCAGTGGTAGATGGGATGGAGTTGATCCAACTCTGTTTCCAAAGGGCATGGCTGTTTGATTTTCCTAACAGCACCTAACCGCAGCTATACTTGGCTTACTTGTTCATGTCATCCAAAGCCATTTGTTCTGAAGATGCCTTCTGTCCTTGGGATAAAGCTCAAGAAAATGTCTTTTGGGAACTATTCTTCACTTCCAGTCAACTTGGCCACTGGGCATACTCCCTCTATTTACAATGGCAATGGGATGCTGAGTCTCAGTTACCATCTTACTTACCTTGGTTATGCATGTATGTTTTGATGTACAGCACCCAGGATATGGAACCACATGCCTTGGGCACCTAATGACTGTTTTAGGGAAAACTTGGAGACTTTGAGGAGTGGATAGGAAGAAGTAGAGTGTGCCACTGGCATCTGCTGAGGCTTGGTGCCAGGTCCCCCTGTGGATGCCAAAATCCATGGTTGCTCAAGGTCCATTAAGGACAATGGCATAGTAAAATGGTATCCCTTATATAAAATGGCTTGCTTTGTGCAATTTAATAATTTTAAAATATTTTCACACCATGGATGGTTGAATCTATGGATGAGGAATCAGTAGAAACAAAGGGCCAAATGTACTGATCAACGGTAGAGCACATGCTTTGTGTGTACAAGGTCCCGCATTCAGTCCTCGATATATCTTCAGGTAAAGGCATAAACATAGCTTGGAAAAGTTACTTTTTGGGAGCCCACCTCCCAGCTAGTGGTGGCTGGGGATTCTGGGAGTTGTAGTCAGTGGTGGTTGGTGGTTTCCATATTGGTGGGGTAGAATCCATTCTGGGTTATAGTGTGAACTTTAAAAGATTTATCCAGGCACCAAACTTATGAGGCACCTTACATAGTGCCAGCAATTCCTGATTATTCACCTCCACTGTACCACTGATATGAAAGCTATTAGCTGCTACAGGTTGTAGTATAAACAGAATAACTTCTCCAAGGTATGAGTATCAGGTTATAGGAAAAAAACCCTTTGCCTGGAACCTTGGAGGGATATTGTCAGTCAGACTAGATTAGAGACATAACATTTCTGGAAATGTCAAAGCCATGGTGATGGTGGGGAACATTTTAGAAGGAGAGATGAAAAATGCAGTATTAGCACCCTTTGCAAATTGAAAGTCATTTGGTTATTTTCGGAAAATAACATGCATTATATATAACTTAGTTTGGTATAAAATTATATTTGATATATTAAATGTACAATTTATTCAGAATATAAGTACAAAATGAAATTCCTTTTAATACACACACACACATGCATATTTGTTACGTATAGAGCTAAAAGGTTCTGAACCATATAGAATCTCTTTGGTTTTACCAATTTGAGGAACAGGCTAATAACCCATAAGAAAAACCAAAAAAAGCAACCTTAGTAAAAGAGAGAAAATAATTTCCCCTCCACTAGTTCTTCATTGTGCCAAGCAGAGATAACGCTGTCATTCCCATCAAAAGAATGGAGAAAAGGAAACCTAAATCTGGAATTGCAATGATACGAGACATTCTATGTAGTCTTACATAAAAGTCTTTGTCAAACATCATTTTCAGAAATGATTTTGGGCCCGCATATCGGCAAGCGCCTTGTCTTAAACATTTCATCCAACCTTCTAAAAGAAAATATCCAATAATCAATTTTCCAGGGTTTTTTTTTCCAAAAGGAAAAGGCTTTGAGGAAACAATATCATGGAAAATTGTCACTTTCCCCCCTACTTTCAGATCTGTAGATTAGACTAGCATGGGGAACTTTCTGACCTAGATGGAGAAAGAGTCTTGACTTTGCAAAAGCCTGTTTCTTACATTCCTATCCACCTTGTGGCCATCTATTTGGGATGACCGAAGGAAGGAGGGCCCTTGTGGTTGGATAAATGCCCACAGCCATGCTGTTGTATGAATAGAATTTGGGTTCCTTTGACCTCTGGAAGTGCTTCGTCGATGATGCGTGGTATTAATAGGCTGTTTCCTCATGTGATAAATATGCATCATAAACCTCAAAACCTCCCTTATCCGGAACAATAAGCCATTATCATATGGTGAGTCAGGCTAGATTATTACCTCCTGAAGCTGAGAGCCCAGGTACATGTAACTTTGCCATCACTGGTGGCCCTGCCAGACAATGCAAATAAATTAAGATAATTGGCACATCCTTGTTCTATACATGGAAGCAAGCAAGTAAAGTCGGAGTGATAGAGAAATTGCTCCTGGCAGTTGTTGGGAAATGGCTGTGTGCATCGTCCACTTCTCTCCAGGGGCATTCCTGAGCACCATTCTGTGCATGGAAGGAACTGAGATGGTACAGTCCTGAACTGGTAGAATGGGCTATACCACTTCAGTTGGGAGATGCAAGGGAAGGGATCTCATCTTTGAATGGTCTCTTGCATGAAAAATGGCATCTCTCTATAAATTGGGGAGGGGGGGACCCAGCATCTCTCTGTAAGTTGCAGGGGAGAACCCACTAGAGATGGCATGGTGTAGTGGTTTGAGTGTTGGACTTCAACTCTGGAGACCAGGGTTCAATTCCTGCTCTGCCATGAAACCTGCTGGATGATTTCTGGACAAGTCACATGCTCTGAACCTCAGGAGAAGGCAATGAGAAACCTTCTCTGAACAAATCTTACCAAGAAAACCCCATGATAGGTTCACCTTAGGATCACCATTAAGTTGGACTTGACTTGAAGGCACACAACACACACACACGGCTTGCATCAAAAAGGTGAATTCTGGCTCAGTGCTCTCCCTGGAGTATTAGGAGGTTATTGCTTTTTCTTTCTTTCATTTTTTTTAAAGAAAGAGATTCAATTTTTGATATTTGTTTTTAAATAGAACATTTATTCACTCACAGACTGAAGCTGTTTAAGGAATTTGCAGCCTCAGAAGTAGGACAAAGGCTGCATCTGCACTGCAGAAATAAGTCATTTTGACACTGCTTGAACTGCCATGGCACTATCCTACAGAAACCTGGGATTTGTAGATTATTGTGGTACCAGAGCTCTCTGATAAAGAAGGCTAAATCGATCACAGAACTACTAATCCCAGAATCCCATGGCATTGAGCCATGGCAGTTCAAGCAGTATCAAATGGCATTAATTCTGAAGTGTAGATGGAACCAGAGAATTCTTACTTTTAACTTAATCCACAAGATAGCATGATCACCAGCCAGTGGCAATACTGGTTTGGAGGATTTTGAGCGCTGGAGAATTCTGGGATTGCAAACACCTCGAACCAATGTTTTCCCCCCCATGAAAAGCAGGATGTACATTTATTAATAAATACACTAATAAACAAAACAACAACAAATTGATGCAATTGTTAAAGCACACACAGGAGTAAAAATGTTAAAATATGACTATACATAAATGTGTGAGTGAAAATATGCACACTAAATAAACAAAATATTTTTATTCCTATACTATGCTACGTGTGTGTGGGTGTGCGACACTGGAATATAGATGTAAAAGTGGTCCTGAGGGTAAAAAGTCTGAGGGCATAGAGACACAAAAATTGTTTTGAGGCACAGACGTGGGACACTATTTGGCCCTTCTATCACAGGGAGTAAATTGTCTTGGTCTTTCGCTGGTACACACAGCTACATACACACAGATTTTCTCTTGCAGAATAAAAGCTGAAGGAAAAACACCAGTAGCTCACTGGGAGTGTTCATCCAATGAACTGGAGGCAAGCTTTCAGCAGTTTCTTGCAAAGAGAGAGCAAGTTGTGTGCAGCCATGTTAAAATCTGCCAGCAGTCTCCAGTGTAGATGGAAGATGCCACTCCTGGGAGATCAAGGGCAGCTTTGTGGAGCAGAGTAAGATTAGCACAAATTATCCCTCTGAGCGCAGAGGAGAGAGTGCTGGATGACAGATTCAGCACACACAGCGAGGATGTGAAAAACCTCCCCTGAAAGACAGTGCGCCATAATCGATTGGGCAGACCTGCAGCCCGTTTTGTTGGAAAACAATTGTAGGGAGATTCCCCAATGGCTTCAGTGATGGGAACTGCCAGCAGTCTTGCCTTGACATTGCAGAGAGAGAATCTGCAGGTGCAAAGATAACATTCGTGACAGCTGGGGCCTGTTCTCCTTCAATGCTTCAAGTCGGTTTGGGAGCAGGAGTTCAGAGTTCATGCAACCAATTTAAACCTCTCACATTTGTGTTGCCAGCATGTTACATCTGGCAGTGTCACTCATGCGAGGGACCTCCAGATGGAAAGAGAAGGAGGTAGCTCCTCCCAGCATGGGATGATATGTTCATCTATAAATATATATCCCAAATTAAAGGTATCCCGCTTGACTAGTGTGGGCGAGGCCAGCGCTGAAAGTGGAGTGGCTGGTTTAAAATTAGGGCTGAGCTGATATAGTTTTGTGTTTTGTAATGTTTTTCTATTTTAATTAATAAAAATAAAAATAAAATTAGGGCTGATCTGCGAAAAAGATTCTGTTATGACTGCTGTTGTGTGCCTTCAAGTCGTTTCCAACGTATGGCGACCCCACTACGGGGTTGTCTTGGCAAGATTTGTTCAGAAAAGGTTTGCCATTGCCTTCCCCTGAGGCTGAGAGTGTGTCTCACCCAATGGATTTACATGACTACAACTCCCATAATCCCTCAGCCAACTCAATCAGGCTCTGGGTACAAAGCTAAAGGGTAAAAAGCATGCATAGTTTCCTTAGACGTAACACATGACCTATCCTCTTGAGCTTCAGCAGAAGGACTGGGAGAGGGCAAGAGACCTGCCTGCTAAACTAGGATGCACAAATGGCCTGGAAAGTGCAAAAGCAGCCTTTCAGTGGCATAGCCAGGAAAGAACCTGCCATTATCTCCATCTCTCCACATGGCAAACACTGACAATACAATGCAACCCAACAGGTACAGGTAGTGGTATTGTAAGAAGATTCTGAAAAGGTTGGGGAAGCCATTGAATCATCCTGATGCTTTCAAATGTATCTTCTGAGTCAACTTCCTCATGGTCTGATGGGTCCTCTTTGAACTTCCTGCCTTGAGGAAGAGCTGAGCCCTGGGCATTGCCTCCCCCACCTACATCCCCTTGCTGTACCCACACCAACTTTATTTGGATGCACACCATGTGTCTAGACATGCCCTGTCTGCCTTGTGAGGTCACAAGTTCTTTCTGTGCCTCCCCATTTTTTCAAATGAACAATTGTCCCCCAAATGCAGCCCCCAATACTGTTGTAATATTCCAACCACCTCCCTTCCCAACAAAATAGCTGTAATACACAGGAGTGAAAAACAGAAGTATGGTTCCAGGCCATCCTGGGATTGATTTTTGACTTGGGCCAAAACATCCAGCAGTAATGCTCACTATAGGGACAAAAATGGTAGCCCCCCCCCCTCACTTGTGCATTGCTATGTTAGGGGATCCAGTGCTTGAATCTCAGGATCTAGAGTTCAGCATCTTGTAAGTATACCCTCTTCAAGCACAATGGGGAATTGTGCAATCCAACATTGACCTCTGTGATTGGCTAGATTTAGGCCTCTAGACTGTACTGGTCAGGTATAAATACCAGGAACTTGGCCCCATCTCCTTCTTAGAATCTCCTCTCCACTTGAAATGACTCTCATCTGGTCCTGACTTGGACCCCAGAGGAAATTGCCCCAAGGGTATGCTTGCCTCAAACCCTACTGAGTAAGGCCTGTTTCACTTGAATCCTTCTTGGCCAACAGGATTTGAACCAAGACGTTGCCACATCCACCTGTTCTTCTGTTGAATCTATGGACTGTTGGATTTTCTAGCTTAAACGTTCTTCCTGGATTCATATTTTTCTGTAGGCCCCTTCTGAACCTCTTTGCCAAGTTCTCCTGAGGAAGAATTCCCACCCATCATTCAAACCATGATTCAAAGTAGCCAAGTTGTGAAGATACCTCACCTCTAGGATGAGGTCAGAGGGTACTGTTGGTAGGTTGGATGCAAAAGTCCATTTGATATTCCAGTCAATGCGCCATCACATGTCCATTACTCTTGGAATCCTTTCCTCTATTTCTTTCATTCCTCCAGCTATGGTATTTGCTCATTAGTTTCCTCCTGGCAAAGCTGCAGATATCCCACATAAATACTACTGACACAAAGTACATGGTGAGGACACAAACCTTGACCTCCCAGTATGGCTTGGAGGAAGTCACTACAGCATCCACAATCCACACTCCACCAATGATTCGCAACCCCAGGAAGAGAAGCACAAAAAGAGCATCCACCACATCCCCGGCGATGCTGGGGTAGTGTCCTGTGTCCCGGAGGAACCACCGGATTTGGAGGAGAGGGTTGGTGATCTCGCTCACAAAGATGATGGCATTGACTTCACTGCCTGACTCGCCCAGTAGTAGGACTCCACCCATGCCACAGATGCTCAAAATATGGTGATAGAGCATCAGCTCATCTTCGCTGTTGCAATGGACGCACCAGCCAAAATCAAAGATGAAATATCCTAGTGACAGACAAAACAGGTTGATCTGCGCAGTGGTGTTTGGATGGCCTAGGAAGGATGAGAAAAGAGCAAATGAATTTCTATTTCAACTTGTCAGAAGTGAAGTTTCAATTCTTTTGACAATTCTCCCCAAACAAGCATTTTGATAATAAATTCTAAAATAATAATAATAATAATAATAATAATAATAATATGATGTGCATTGAATAATAATAATAGACTCTAATTTCACACATCAGTGTCTTTGCTACACCTCATTCTTCAATATTTTGAACTTAAGCTCCCATCAGCAAACCATTGGCTGCTTTCCAAAAGAAAAATTAAAGCTTAGAGAAGTTACTTTTTACTTTTGGGGAGAGTCTAGGAGTTGCAGTCCCCAAATGTAACTTTCCCAAGTTCTGAGAAACCTACATGATCTGACAAAACTGATAAGAGAATTCAAAGATGATAGGAAATATTGTGTTTAGGAACTCAAATTTCAGAAATTAAATGTTAAAATCTGAATTTTGAGATATCGGTAAGATCTGAGATATTCTTTCTTTTCTTTATTCAGGGGTTATTCATCAGGGAGTCAATGAACCAGGCATGAAGATGAAACCAGAATCTTCAATTTCCTTCCTTCTGCTTTGAATTCCTCCTTTTACAGAGAATTTTGACATCAAAATTTAGTCTTTTCAAGTGTTCATTGTAATTTTGTTCTTTTCAAACTTGTCCATGTGGAAGAAATCAGTTTCTAATGTATTAATATTTTTATTCTAAATTGGGTTTATATGTGTTAATGTAAAAGTCAGGATGGTGTAATAGTTTAAATGTTGGACTAGGACTTTCTGAAAATAAGGTTCGAATCCTCACTCAGCCATGGAAACTCAAAAGAAAATCCAAGCTCTCTAGAGGATGAAGGAACTTATAGTCATTGTGATGGTCTATGGCCGTAATAAAGATGAACTGGAGTCCAAAAATCCCAAGTTGTTCTGTAACTAGGTGTAGTAGGAGTTATGGAAACCAGTGCATATTGTTCCCCTGTTTGCCCTTGTTTTCCTTCATTTTTATCTATTTTAAACCTGTAAGGCCCTTGAAGCAGGGACTTGTACATAGATGA